TATTGCTTTGAATTCCTATAGTTGTTTTATCTACCTTTTAAGATCAGTATTATAATGCGAGATGTATACCTATACTATTTATCCTTTACATATGTATAATACCAGAAGCATTTGTTCTAATGCAGTAACCAAAACCCCTCCCCCTTACCCCTTTCAGATCGTGGGCAGCACCATAGTCACACCGTAGGCTGGAACAACGTGGTCGGCGTCTACCAAGTCCCGTCCAATGCTCCACACTCTCACTACCACCGCCACCACCTCTACCACCAAACTCACATCAGATACTTCCAAGGGCCTGGCAATTAGTGCATCCCTGAGCAGCATCATGGGGCTGGGAGCACCTACTGCTACAGGCACACAGGCAAATGGGAAGAGCGGCGTCATCAGTGTGAATGGCAACAAGCTGTCCACACCCATCACTACATCCATCCTGCTGTCCACAAGTGAGGTGGTCACTGACAGCCAGGCTGCCTTGAGAGGTATAAGCTGGCTTTTGGTTCATTTTATCCTTTTTAATTCTTGTCTTGCACACGTAGGGAAAGATCTTAACCTGTTGGATCCAGATGCTTTGTTGCCCACACTTGGCACAAAATCTGAACCATAGGCATACTTGAGTGGTGACTGTTGTGGGTGTGGCTTGTAGCCCTGGCTCACACAAACACTCCTGTGCAGTCTCAAGGCTCCTTGCCCCCCCCCCCCTTTGCAATGTTATTCTCCTTTTCTGTATGTGTTTTTTTTCCAGGACCTATATTTATCATTTGATATCTGTATGAAGATAGTAATAGACTATTTTCCTTGTACAGACTCCATATCATTTCTCAAAGTAGTCTATAACTCAGCAATAACAATAAGTGACATTTTGCTTTTTGTCTTTTTATATACTTTCATATCATTCAGTTTTCTGTAACACACCCTGTGCAGCCAGTAACGATGGGCAGGAATAGGATCCTGCGTATGGAAACAGTGTCTTCCCATACCTGGCCCTCAGCCACTTTGTATGATCAGGGCATCAGTTCCCCCCCCCCCCCAACTTTGTTTGCCCCCTCCCTAAAGGCCAGACCTAAAAAAAAATTACCTAAATTACCCTGATTATAGCTGAAATTTTTTTTTTTCTGGGAGGCTTACAGTGATTCTGGTACTGATTGTGCTCACTTCACTTACCAACCTTTCCCTCCCCCCCCCCAATGACAACCGTGTTCATGATATGATGGTCACATCAGCCAGGACCAGTGGGTTAATGGATAGTGAGTAATAATAATTTTCAAGAAGCATTGATGTTCTTCCTCTGAGCTTATGTGCTACCTAAGTTTCTTGTCTGCCCTTACAGGAAGTGCTGTGAGCCCACGTGGTGGTGGTGCAGGAGTCAGGGTGTACTCAGGCAGCCCTAAGACATCAGCTGCCTCTTTCCTGTTGACTAATGTGACTTCTGCTTCTAATGTGAGGATGGCAAGTCCTTCCATGGTCATCACCAATACCTTGGGTGTTCCTCCTGGAGGCTGTGCCACGAGTGCCTCCACAGAGCCCCTCTCCCTTAGTATGGGCTCAGTTGTAGTGAGTGCAGGAGGTGTGAGCAATAATGGGGGAGGCATGGTGGGTGGAAGTGGTAGGGGAAGGGTCATCCTGACCTCCAGTCCTCGTCTTGTGCGCCCACTCATGGCCTCCCCCGGCAGCCGCCCCATTGGCAGCACCCGCATGCTGAATGCTCCCACTGCCTCTCGCCCCACAGTCATGCTGGTCACCACGGCCACACCTGGAGCTGCAGTATCCCCCTCCAGTGCAACCCCAGGCACCCTCACCACCATGGCCCTTACACCTGCCACCAATGTCACATCTCCTACACTCATGGCTTCAAGCACCCCCATGACATCCTCTACCATTCTGGCAGCTGTCTCTAAGTCACCTACCAACTCAGCTGTTCTGGCACAGTCAAAGTCAAGTCCCCTCACACTTGCCACATCCACATCACTGCTGCCCAAGAATATAACCACACAGTCAGCTGTGTCCCCAAAGGGTCTAGCCACTGCCCCTGTCACAACCACAAGGCCCTCTGTGGTGCCAGCAGGTGAGTTAGCTCTACTAGTGGCAGCATCAGAGATGAGTGAGCGGGCCAGGAACCCTGGGTCACCGACCGCCATGGCCACCGAAGCCAGCATTCACATCATCAGCTCAGTAGACTCTTCTGGGGCTCAGCCAGAAGTCACAGTCAGCCCTTCAGCAGCCACATCGCAATCCTCACCATCAGCATCAACACCTGTGGGAGACAAAAACTGCAGCAACACTGCCAGCAAAGCAAATGACACAAAGAAAACTGCAGTGACCAGTAGCCAACAGCAGGTACCATCAACATCCCAAGCCAGCAATCAATGTATTCCTGGCACTGCCACTACAACCACCACTACCCCTACAACCACTACAGTTGCTCGTACCACTGAGTCTTCGAGCAGTAGTAGCACCTCCTCTAAAACAACACAACAGCAGCAGCAGCAGCAAGGCATTGTGACTAGGACATTTACCCTAAGTGGAGGAATCAGCCTAAGGTCGAGGCGGAGCAGCGGACCTCTGGTGGTGGAGCTAGACAGTGGACGTCAGAGCAAGTCATCGGGCAGTGGGTCCTCATCATCCTCTAAGGCGTCTGCTCTTCGCAAAGGCCGAGGAAGGGGACGTGGTCGCCCAAGGTCACACATGTAAACAGATGGAATGTATGATCTGTGAGTTTGTGAGAGAGGATTGAACTTCCCTCACAGTGTGAATGTGCATCTCCCTTGACAAAAAAAAAATTGAATGTTTTTAGATGAATATTTAAATGGATATAATATGATATTAGAATAAAATCAGCAAGCTCTATAGCTAATTCGTTGCCAATAGTCCAGAAAGAAAATGTATGTAATACATTCTAGGGAAGGCAGTACATTGTTTATGTATGTGTGCATCTGTCTGTCTATATTTTTCCTGTAAAGTGCATTTTAAGGAAAGATGTGGAAATTTGACTTTGTGTATTTAAATACAGAAAACAACTATAGGGTACAGTTTTGGCATTCTTGTTCAGCCTTAACAATATTATGTCTGTGTTAATTATGTATGGATTATATCATCATCTGTGTTAGTTGTACAGCATGACATTATGCAAAGTTTTATATTAATTAAATGTAATTGTGCCAACAAGGTTGGTGTCACAGTTGTATTATAACTTGTAAGTGCAAATATAACATTTGTTTCGAAAATGAACAAATATATTGTTATATAGTTACTTTCTGTGTAACTTGTGTTCATAAAATGTTTAAGTTATAACATTTTTATTGTTGCCCAAATATAATGGTAATCAGGAATATCATAACCCATTGCTACTGGGGATGACATCTATGTAGATCCATCCCCTTCCTGCTCATATTCCCCCTACACCCCTTCCTCCTACTCCCTCTCAACACAACCTAACCCCCTCAATTCCGTCCACCATCGATATCCATCCTCCTGATATCCATCCCCCTCTTACTCATAGCACCCTACATCCTCCCTCCTAATCCCTCCCAAGACAACACATCCCCTTCAACTCCAACTATCCATCCTTCCGATATCCAACTCCTACACTAATACTCCACCCACACCACTTCCTCCTACTCCCTCCCAACACAACCCACCCCCTTCAACCCCCAACTATACGCACATTCTCCCTCACTCCATCCCCTCTATCCTTTCCACTCCCTCTCGGATACGCACGGGAATCACTCATGTCACAACAATGCCCTTCCTCAGATTCCCTACCTCCTGATACCCCTCCTTTACACCCCCTAGCTCCTTCCCCCCCAGGTTCCTCAACACGTACCGGCGCTTTCACTCATAAAATAACTAAAATATAGCTCTCTACAGTGGAATATTCGCAGCTTCCGTTCTCACAGACCAGACCTACGTCATATCCTTGCTTCTTATAACAACCTGTTCTCCTTCCTCAGATGCATAAATATCCTTCACTTGATGTAATTCCCTTACCTAAACCACCATAACCCTTTCCCTCATCAGCCCCCTTAGCCATCTTCAACTTTCCAACATTACTCTTGATAGTTGACGCATAGCAACTATCACCTGACATCACCCTTTACTATACCTTCCTAAAGTGCTATATGACCGTAGATGTCTAGCACATTTCGCTTTTAATCATTAACCATTAACCATTCGATATACGTTTATCTCAGATCCCATGATCCGGCGCAAGGACCGATTGCTAAAGGCATCAAGAAGTGACTACAAAGCACAGGATAATGTCCAGGTTTCACTACCGTATAGCAAAACTGGTATTATCAGGGCCTTGAAGACACGTAGCTTGGTCCTTCTGCACAGGTACCGGCATCTCCAAATACTCTTATCGAGAGAGTTCATGACCCCTTGCTGCAGGCCAATCTGCGTCTGCTATGAACTACACTACCAAGGTATGTAAAGCTCTCTGTGACTTCAATGTCCTCGCCGCAAGCACGTACCGACTGAACAGGTTCTCCTACAAGTCCCCAAATTCCTGGATCTTGGTCTTGGTCCAGGAGACCTCTAGACCCAAGGCTTCGCTTCATTACTAAATGCATCGAGAGCCACCACTAAGGTTTCCAAAGACTCAGATAGAATGGCAACATCATCAGCAAAGTCAAGGTCTGTAACCTTGATATTGCCCAGAGTTGCTCCACAATGACTTTGAACAGTAGCTCTGCCCAGTATCCAGTCCATGCAAGTGTTGAAAAGTGTTGGTGCAAGGACACAGCCTTGCCTCACTCCTGAACTAACAGGAAAGAAGCTCGACAGGCCCCCACCACACTTTACAGCACTTTCAGTACCAGTATACACTTGCTATTAGTCCAATAATCCTTGTTGGAATTCCTCTCAGTCTCAGGATCTCCAAAGTGATTCCCGATGCACCGTATCGAACGCCTTCTTGAGGTCGATGTAGGCTGCAAGCAGCCCACGCCCGAACTCACGACGGCGCTCTACAATGACTCGAAGCGCAAGGATACGGTCTATTGTGGACTTACCAGGAGTGAATCCAGATTGCTCCAGCCTCTGGTGCCTCAGTAGATGGTCTCTGATACGTCTCAGAAGGATGTGGGCGAGAACCTTGCCTGGTATACTGAGCAGTGTGATGCCTCGGTGATTGCTGCAGTCCCAACGGTCCCCTTCCCCTTCCAGAGAGGGATGACACACCCTCAACAGGTCAGGGAATGGCGCCGCAGCCAGGACATGCAACCCACGCCATAGGTTCACCACCAGCCTTTAACAGTTCAGCTGGATGCCGCAATACCGCTGCTTTGCCACTCTTCAGCTTGGAATCGCCCCCCTAACTTCAGTTAGGGAGGGGGTCCTCACTGATGGGTGGGCCGGCAACGGAATCTCGCACTACCCGCATCCAAGTTAACTGTTGGTGGGTCAACCTGGTACAGCTGCTCAAAATACTCAGCCCAACGCTCCGGCACCGCAACAGGATCTGAGACGACTTTAAGCGTTTCGCGCTTGAAGGTGTTCCACAGAAGTACAGGGTCCGTCAGATTGTCGAGCCCTGCGAAACGACCAGAGACTGCTTCAGCAAAACCCTGGGCACACTCCCCCTCCCTCAGCCTGTCCAAGTGAAACACTCTGGGATGATCATTGGACCACTAGGGAGTTTTGAAGTAGAACCGGAGGGTAGCCACAAGCAATATAGATTGGTTGTGGCTTGGTCAGTAGCACAGAACTCGGCACTCCTATACACCCTGCAGTTTTGGAGGACCCTCCAACGAGTGCTAACGAGTATGTGGTCGATCTCCTTGGCTGCAATACCCGCATCGCTGTACCATGTCCAACGATGTGGGTCTGGGCGCTGGCACCAGGAGCCAGCAATCCTCAATTTCTGGGACTTAGCAAAGTCCCGGAAAAGGAGGCTATTCTCACTACCGATATCAGTTCCTGAACCTTGGGGACCGACAGACATCTCATAGACAGCTCGATCACAGCCAGATAGCGCATTGAAATCGTCCAGAACAATACGAATTGGATGAGGAAAACGCTACCAGAGGAACAGAAAGGATGCCGTCCTGTCTTAATTTAACAGACAAAGCCGTCCTGAGGGATTGCAAGTGCCAACCCCATACTGGAAACTGCAAAGTGCGCGGCGGAGTTTGTTGTTTAGAAGCAGAAACTGCGCAGCTACACGTACAGATTGATGCAAAAATGCGCGGCTGAGCTGGTTTCGTTGGTCTAATCAGCCAGTCATTGGCTCCAACTCAAGGAATTCCCGGTTCGTGGTTGCGCGTTTAAGCCTCCAATTACTAAATGACACGGCTGAGAGAAAATATGTCCAAATGGCGCGGCCAGAACCGCGGCTGAGATATAAATCCGCCGCGCACAGCAGCAACTTTCCAATCTGGTACCAACCTTACAATGGCCTGGGTAGACAGCAGCAAGGCATATGACAAGGTGCAGGAAAAAGTTGGGAAATACTATGATCTGACGAGAGAAATTAATGGGAAAAGGGGAATACGAAAAGTTAAATTGTTTCCGGTAATCGTTGGTGCACTGGGATGAGTGACAAAGAATATAACGAGGTGGTTAGAGAAATTGGGAATCACAATGAGAAGCGAATTACTACAAAAGACAACAATTTTCGAAACAACAAAGATACTGAAAAAAGTACTTGAAACATCTACAGAATTTCTTCGGTGTAAGGAGTTTCACATTATCATGTCCGTGTATAAGGAAGTGATAATGATAATTATGATAAATAAGAACAATAATGATATGAGGAGGAGGATGAAAATGATTATGATGATGGTAATGATAATAATTGTTATTGTTGTAACTGCTATTATAAGGGGAAAGTCTCCCCGTAATTTTTTCGTTTTCTACGAACGCAACGAAAAGTTTTCATGTTCTTTGAGGACTGTAATATACGGTACACTACTTTATCAAGCATGTTACTTTATTGTGAACTACGAACGCAAAATGAGTGACAATAATCAAAACAAAGAAGCACTAAATAATAATATTGTAGATATAGATAAAATTATATTGCTTACACGCAGATGAAAACGTTTGTCAGACTTGAAATCTGATTGATTTTTTTTATCGTCAATAATTTCCCAGCGAAACAACGACTTGGTGCTGATTATTCCATGCATGTGCGTCGTCTGCATCGAAAAACGAGAGATTGCAGATCGCAGACTCGAGGCTTTAGTATATATTTCCTTCGAATTACAGATCGCAAATCGCCGATTTCAGAGCGAATGGTTGAGAGGTGTTAGTGCATTTGGTTTGGTTTGATGGTTCACCAGAAATAACATCTGGGATCGCACAAATAGAGTACTTTGATTAAAGGCAGCAATATTCCTTACAGCAAAATGAATAAAATCGTTATACTGGCTGGTAATGAGTGGCTGAGTCGGTTTGTAGATCAACAGCATTGATGATGTTTATAATCAACATATTTTACATGGTCACTCTGTCAATAAAAAATACAGTAGACGTAAAAATAAATAAATAAAATAAAACACA